ATCGTTGTTATTTTGATAAATAATTTTATATTAAATATACAATTTTAAAATTAATGTATATTAATACAAATAGAAATATATATTATTATATTTTCAAACAAATTGAAAAATCTAATTGACAACAAATTTTATTATTATATTCAATATGATGTACAAATAAATTATATCAATATATATATACACTAATAACTGAAAATATTTGTAGTCTTTAACATCTTTTTTATTACGCATAGAGTCGTTAATTTAAATAATTTTGAATGTATTACAACAGTAGATTACAAAACTATAATATTTGAATATAAATTACTAAATATTTAATAAATAACATAATTAATTAGTAATTATCATCGACTCTCTGAATATTAACTCAAATTATTATATATAAAACAATTTAATGCACAATGCATTCAATACACAGATGTGCAGACAGTATACATAATTAATTAGCTTAAGGTATATTAGATATTATGGTATATAAATTATTTTATTATTATTTTTATATAAAGGTATCTAAACTTTTGTAATTTCTAAAAATTTATTGAAATTTCTATTAATTAAAAGTAATTTTATAACAAAAACAAAATTGTTTTTTATGTATATCAATAAATTTATTAAAAATAATGATTTATTTTTATAATTTTTTGTTTTGTATCGATTTAAGATTATATTTTTTAATTATATTGTATTGATTTATTTTTATTAATTAATTATGTATCTAAATAAATATTTATAAAATATCTAATGTTTAATAGCACTATATTTTAATATTGAAACTTTATATATTTTTATGTCACATGTAAATCGTAAATTACAAAGTGTAGTATTTTTCAAATAAAATTATTTTTCAGTAAAATTATAAGAAATAGTAATTTATACTGAATACTTACAATACTACAAATATTTATTAAATACAAATTATAAATATTGTATATAATTAATTAGTATAAATAAGTATTTTATAATATTTCATAATTGTATAATATTTTATGCTAATAATAAAATTATTAATAAATGTTTACATAAATGTAGACATAGTGTATAGTTTAATAGGATATTTTGAAGACTCATTTCTTATTTCAATATATATTAAAAATATTTTTTTAAAAGTATAATATAGTGACCAGAATGTCATTCATCGATAAAAATGCATTAATAAATTCTATATATTTTTAATCATTTTATTTTGAATATTWGAACTATTTGTTAATGAATTTAACGACATATCCTAAATTATTACCTATAATTTGAATATTACTTTAAATAGTAAAATTATGTCTATAAAAGAGACTTATATATTAAATAATATAATTTATATTTTACAGAGACTAATGTATAAGCTATATGGTATAGCAATCAATGAACACTTATTTACTTTTAATGAGAAACAGRACTTAATGTAATGTAAATTAATGTATTGTACGGTATATACATATSATACATACAGTATTAAAGTATTTATAAATATAATAATGGTGTTGTAAACGGCAGAAAAAAGGACAGTTACTAATCAATAACAGCAATACATTGGGATATCCGACAGAACTCATCAAAACTAACCGATTTGGACACAAAGCCATACCTGAATCATAGTTTTCCCAAACAGACAGCTTCTACAACACAAGTATTGTCCAAATGGTCTGTTAAGAGTCGGGTTATTAGAAATGATTTTACATTTTACTATATTATATAATACTGTATTAAGATWAYCTATATTTGTATCTGTCGTATACCTGTATATAAATTTATATCATTATTCAACATTATATCTTATAAACCAATTGTTAGATTTTGATGAAATATTTTTRATTCTAAATGTTATTTATATATTAATATTGAAACTTTATATATTTTTATGTCATATTGACACTCAAATACACTCCATTAGAACCAACATTCATTCAACTTAAATGATATTCAAATTTATTTAAATTTCATGGAATCCACTTGAGTGTCATCTAATGGATACATAAGATGTTGATTATAATTATAATGTTTCACTTATTTTTAATAATTTAAAAACTAATCTTGATTACTTTTTTGGAAATTTTATGATATAATTCGGATGATATAACCTTTAGAATAAAAATATTTCATCAAAATATAACAATTGGTTTATAAGATATAAAATTGAAAACTACTTAAAGTAGTTTTGTCTTAATACTGTATACCTGATATCAATTGACACAAACAACACCTACAATCATATAATACATATTTTTAATCTATAATATATGTTAACATTTTTAATTTTATTATTTACAAACAATTACATTAAACTTTTTTCATAAAAAATAATATATTGAGTTAATATATAATATAATTTCGATAATTTTATACAATAATTATTAAATAATATATAATTTATAGACAAACAAAACATGAACTTTGATTAATAATTAATGTTATGAAAGTGTCAGCACTTGACCTAACATTTTAATTAATATATAAATTACTTTCGTCTGAATTAGTTTCAAATAATTGTATAATAAATAATAGACATTTGATTTGAACATAAAAAACTAAACATTATTTTATTATATCCAGTAATTATAGTTTAAATAACATTGAATTGCATTGCACTGACAACTGAGATAATCTCACTATAATTGTCATAAAAATTAGATGTTTCAGAGTATTTGACATTTAGGACGGCCTTAAAGGTCAACATAATTGATATTTTAATAATTATCTATTTTTTTATTCAAAGTATTTTATAATAATTTCGCAATAAAAATATTTGAATTAACTTTAAATTAAATGTTTATTTTTATAGTTAATAAACATTATTGAAGATAATGAAAAATTACTTCAATGTTATTTTCTATCACAAAATATTAATTATATTTACTTAATATTTAAAATTCACAATATTTTATCTAAAATATTAATTTATTCATTTTTAACATTTAATATTTAAATTAAATAATTAATATTAATTAATTATTACAAATTTATAATATTTATTTGATTATATCGTAAGTTAATTAATTTGTCAGACAAAAAAAACTTTAATATAATATGAAATAATTATAATACAGATAACTGTCAAAATTTTGATAAATGTTATAATATTATATAATAAAGTGATATAAAAAGTAAATAATTATTGATTAGATATATGTAAGCAATAAGTGAATTGAATTGATTGGACATAAATCAGAGCTGAACGTCGATTCTCTTCGTCACAAATGAGTGAATAGTCATTGAATACATTGTAAACCATTATAGACGACAAATAAGCGGTGCCTTCAATAGGACCGCAAACGACAAGTTTGTTAAAAACCGAAAGTTTCCTATCGTTTCCTTTTGTTTGTCAAAACATTACACACTTTTTGCTACCTTTTTAATGACTCCTTTGTGGAGACTGTTTCCAAATGACACAAACGAAAGTCATTTGATGACCAAATTGTATGCACTCTTGTGTTCACTATTTAAGTGTTTGTCGATCATTAGGTCGTATCAATTGGCAAACTAACAGCAAACCATTGAAAACATGTTTTATAATATTAATATATAATATAATATAATGTATCGATTTTAACATTATCAACAAATGTTTCAAAATTTGTTGATTTGTTTTTAGTTATTATTTATTTATTTATGTTTTAATATGCGACTAAAGCAAAATAAAATTCAGGTTTGTATTGATTTATATTTATTAACAAAATACTTAATATTATTGTTTATTAACTTTCTATTTATCTGTTTTGTGTAAGTTTTATATAAGTTTTATATAATTTTTATGTATCTATAGGTATATACTACTGTATATATTATTTTATATGAAGAAAATTGAGATATAATTTTTTGATTTTTTAATTTATGATTTTTATAAAGTTATTAAATTAATTGAACTAAAATTAATAATTTTTACATTTATCATTTATTACTAGTTAAAATTGATTGATTTTTACTATTAAATAATATTTATTAATTTAGATTTATTTAGTTATGTAATAAAAAAATATTATTTTGATGAATAAATCAAACCAAATCAAACCAGTTTTAGCGTAAAAAACAATTTTATTTTTGTTTATAAAACATTATAAAAGCGGAATTAAAATCCAAAAGATATTGTTGTGAAGTGAATCGTAAAGAATAAGTGATTTATAAAATAAATAATTTGTTATTTGAAAGGATAGGATAGGAGTGTCTGTTTTGGTCAATCAAACGACACCAATATATCACAATAAATATATATTCCGCTCCAATAGTCAGGTGCTATATGTGTACGGAATTGTTTTTTTATAATTATATTTTATAATTTTTTTATAAATATACATTACTATTAAACATAATTATTTTATATAAAAATTATTGAATTCAAAATAACTTTTAGACTATTTAAACTATTTTTATTTAAATTAAATAATTTTGTTGTTTTTTTACAGTTAGTGTTTTTGAGCTCCATATTAGTGTGTTTGATATCATTATGTTTTGCTGACAGTGAAAGTCATTTACCAGAGATAGCCAACAGTCAAGTCAGTAGTGAAGTCATAAATAATGATAACAAAGATCTGTTGAGCTTAGAGTCAGTTGTAGACCATTCGGTAGATTTAGTGACAGCCGCCGGACATCACAAGAAAAAGTGGAAGAAAGGAAAAGGACATTACAGTAAATGGGGGAAAAAACATAAGGGAAACAAACATAAAGGACATAAACATAAAGATTTTGGACACGGATGGAAACACGGCAACAAAAAATATAAAAAGAAGAAAAAACACGGAGGGTTTGCATAACAACTATAACTGATTTCTATAATTTATTGAAACTATTTATTTATTTATTTTTCATTTTTGTCTCAAATTTATTTAGACATCACGATCACGGAAAGGGTGGACACGAGTATGGAAAGTGGGGCACAAAAAAACACGGAAAAAAGAAACATGGTGAAGAATGGAAAAAGAAACATGGTAAAAAGAAATGGGGGAAAAAAGCTAAAAAAGCAGGAGATAAAGGCATGAAATGGTATAAAGACAAGGGGGCAAAAAAACATGGTTGGAAAAATACATACCATAAGGAAGAGTGGGGCGATAAGAAAAAATATCACGACGTCTGGAGGTTTATACACAATATTAACTATTTATTTACATTTACAACAAAACTATATATAATTGTTGTCATAATTTATTCAGAGATAAGGACTGGAAAAGCAAATGGAAAAGTCATAAGGACTACAAAAAGTCAAATCACGGCAAAAAATATGGCGGAAAACACGGCAAAAAAGTTATAGCAATTGACTTTATATTCTTAAATGTTTGAATTAATTGTTAATAATTTAATTTGTTTTCTTAATATAGTATTACAAGAAGAAAAAACACGGAAAACATTACGATAAACACGGAAAAGGTATACAACTTTTTGATTTGTATTAACAAATACTTGAATAACAATTGATTGACTTTGATATGATAGGTGGTTGGAAGCATCACCATGGTAAGGAATATAAAAAAGGATCCAAAAAGTACCACAAAGATCACGGACACAAATGGAAAGGTGGCGGACATAAAAAGAAACATTGGGGAGGTTTGACTATATTATCAATTATTCATATTTATTATCATATAATTTACATCAACTAATGTTTGTACTGTTGGTCAGGTCATCACAAAAAGAAAGATTGGGACTCTCATGGCAAACACGGATACAAAAAAGGAAAAAAACATAAGGGTTGGCACGGATGAGCTCTTTGGACACATACTTGAGCCCATTGTTATCCATAATACGGTCTTTTCTATGCTAACAATGTCATCAATTGTTATATTTAGAAATGTCTTGTAATTTAATGTTATTTTAGAATTAAGATATTTTTAAATATAAATTTGTATAAAAATATTTATTAGAAATAAAATTATTTAATTTAAGAACAAATGAATTATTATTATTTAATGTTTTGATTAATTAATAATAGAAATTTATAACTATTTAAATATTATATTATATAATATAATATATAATATATTTTAATAATAAGTTATAATATTATAATACATCATAAAAAGCACAATTTAAATAAGATTATCAAATAATAAACTTTAATATTAAACATATTTGAATTTAAATTCCATATTAAATAAATATATTATATTATTTCACAACAAAGTAAAATCAATGGCATAAACAACAATTAAAGTGAATAAATAATTAATAGTTTCTAATAACATAAATTTTAATGTAATAAAAAAGTAAAAATGAGTCATTAAATTGGATTCAAAACTTATAAAACAATTATATAAACATGTGATATAATAAATATATGATTTATTAGAAAATATAAATAATTTTACAAGAAATTTTTTAAACAACGATTATAAATACAAATATTTTATTAAAACATTATATAATAAATTAATTTAATTATGCTGTATATTTTTATATAAACAGCTATTGAAATATCAATATTCAATTTTTAGTTTTATTAATTAAATTATTTGTTATATTTTTATTTACATAAAATTTATACAATACAATTTGATCTGTTTTAGTAATTTTTAAAGTATATAAAATAATTTTTTTGAAGTATTTAGAAGTTGTATATTATTATAGAAAAAACTTATATATTATTTAAAATTTTAAAATTCAAACGAACAAAATAAACACTCATTCAAAATTAGACAATATCTCAAATATCAAATAAACAAAACTTTAAATATTAAAATTCATAATTTTTAATTTAGTTAGAAATAAACAAACATTTTAGTTTATTTTATTAGCTAGCTAATTACTATGTATAGATTATTTGTTCTATTTTAAATATAGAAATTTTCAAAATTAAGAAAAATGCAAAATACCTTGACACTTTTATTGTATAACATTTTGAAATTTTTATTTTTTAATGAATAAAGTTATTAAAAAAAAAATTAATATTTTAAAAATTGCCAAAACACGTGTCTACTCATTTTAAAAAATGTATAATTTGCTTTTTAAAAAATTTTATTATCTCTTGTAGTTAATGAGATATCAGACATCCTGGTGCTTGCATACCAGTGCCATATACAGTACATATAAAGTAGTAAAACCAATGTATTCTTCCCAGAAAACCATAGTTGCAAATAAAAAAGAATTTTAAATTCCAATCCAGAGAAAAGTTATTCCCAAAAATCTAGTTTCGCCTATTTTGTAAGTGATTTTATATATTGTATTGTAAATTTATGTACTGTATATTATAAAATACAATACTTAATAATATTGTGTCGCTATGCGCCACTACAAGTCAACAATGGCGACTACAGGTGCGCAATGCGCTTAACAGCACCGGTAGCTGCCATACTGTATACAGTATGCGTTGAGACTTGAATGCGAATAGTCGTATAATATTTGAATCAATAAAAACGTTTTTGTTTAACACGTGTTTTTTTTTGTTAATTACTTTACCGCCGATTCCCCGATTATTGAGTTGGTCACCGCTTACTATGCGATAGCCGACTCAATTGGCGCAGTCGCCGAGATCGAATTTTACGCAAAATCACCGATTTTTATACCCGTTTTTAATCGCTTTTACGACTAATCGTTTGAATGCAAAATTCAACGATTTTTTAGACGCCTTTATTTTTAACCGACTTTTGCGACGACTTCAAGAGTTTATTAAGAAGCAAAAAGACCGAAGAAGGTACCGATGTCTCTCCGATCTGGTAATACTTATAGGGCAATCCTGCCGCCCACCGACTCCGAAGTTATTACCGAAGATATTCCCGCCGAAGATAACGCCGAAGACATGACGACATTTGCCGACGAATTGGATAGTCTAACCCAAGGGATCAACGCCGACACGAACTTCGAAGAGTTGGCCGAACGTATGGCCACGTTGGCCACCGCTGCCCGCGCCGCTGCGGCAGCCCGCGAACAGATTATCCAAAACGAACCCGCCGCCCGACCGATGGCAAATGCGAACGCAATGAGACGATTAGACTTCGTAGATAACCGAAATGCGAGACCACTACCGACGACAGCACCCGCTAAGACATCATCGAAGATGTGTGATTCGTTTAGTGGCGACAAATCGATAGTTCCGATTGACGAATGGATAATAGGCTTTGGATCGTTAGTATACGATTTCACCGACAATGAGAAGCTAACATCGCTGGCTAAACACTTGACTGGCGAAGCCTTCAGCTGGTACTGCCGAGAGGTAGCCAGTAAGCGACCCAACATCACGTGGGACACGTGTAGGACAAAAATAATCGCCCGTTTCGGTCGTGTGGTTGGCCACGGGATAGTTGAGGCATCTGAGCGTCGACTAAGAGGAAGCGAATCCGTATTGTCTTATTATAATGACATGCGCCGGCTTTTGGATGAAACAGACGTCGGAGAAAAAGATAAGGTCGGCCTACTTACCAAAGGTATGCCCGACTGGTATAAACCTCATCTGGCTGCCCAGTACCCGAAGACTCCTGAAGATTGGTTCCGTATAGCCGTAGCAATAGAAGAAACCCGAAAAAGACAGCGATATCCCGGAGTTAATACAATGGAAGACACCGAAGATAAGAAGAAACACGAAAAGAAATACGACTGGAAGAACAAGCGAAACAACGACAAACCTACAGTTCCTTGTCCTCGCTGTAAGAGATATGGTGCCACTGAATACCATTGGATGCGTCTCTGCCACCGCCCGGACACTAGACTACAGCCAGCTCCGCGACCAGCCACTGGTAATGACTCTACAGCAGCCGTTAATGCGATAGTTATCAATGACGACCGACATTACGCCGTGAAGATTAATGACAAGCCGGTAAATGCGTTCATGGATCACGGATCCGAATTGACGATATTATCAAAGGAAATAGCCGATGATTTACGATTACGACCCGCTGGACGTGGTATTAAAGTAAAGACCGTCGCCGGATTCAAGAACACTCTCGGAGAAGTCCGCGTCGATATCCAATTAGACAAACAAACCGCCAGAGTATCGATGCATGTAATGGACGATATCTCGTATGATGTCATCGTTGGCATCGACATAGCGTATATGGAGACGAAAGTGCGATTAAAAGAAAGTTACGCAATTAAGATCGTCGAGGAAGCCTCCATAGATCTGATGACTGTCGCTAATGTTGCTGAAGAAACGACAGATCCGTTACTTACTGAATACGACGTGTTTGCGCGACACGACAAGGATGTCGGCCGCGTACGTAATGTTAAACACGTTATACGTTTGAAACCCGATGCCGTTCCGATTGTTCAACGCCCGTTCCGGGTTTCCGCCGAACGAGAAAAGCTGATGAAGAAGGAGACCGATGGTCTGTTAGCCAAAGGGCTCATCCGTCCGTCCCGCTCTCCATGGGCATCACCGCTATTTCTCGTTGTTAAGAAGGACGGGGGTTACCGCAGTGTAATCGACTACCGAAAAGTAAACGCACAAACCGTCAGTGAACGTACACCACTACCGATAATTCGAGATCTGATCGACAAGCTATCCGGATCTAGCGTTTTTACCACACTAGATGTAGCGTGGGGCTATTGGCAGATGCCTATCGCCGAAGAATCGATGGAAGTTACCGCTTTCGTGACACCTTACGGACAGTTCGAGTGGACAGTACTCGCAATGGGACTCACCAACGCCTGTTCGGTGTTCCAACGTGAGATACGAAAAATACTTAACGAACTGGTCGGCAATGGTGTCGAATGTTACCTCGACGACATCCTAGTCCACTCTCTGGATCGGGATAGTCATCGCAAACTCCTCCGAAAAGTATTCGAAAAGCTAGTCGCAGAAGGGATCCGTTTACGTCGAGAAAAGTGCCGATTCTTCGCCGAAACTGTCGAATTTCTAGGACACGTAGTATCCGCCGGGTGTGTACAGCCGTCGCCAAAGAAAGTCAAGGCTGTTCGTGAGTTCCCTATTCCGAAGACAACGAAAAATATTCAAGAGTTCATAGGACTCGCAAATTTTTATCGTCAATTTGTCGAAAACTTCTCGAAAATTGCTCAGCCGTTGACAGATCTAACCCGAAAAGACGTCCCATTCGTGTGGACAGATCGTCAACAACGCGCCTTCGATGGTCTAAAAGACGCCCTTTGTTCCGCACCGATACTCCGTATTTATGACCCGAATCTACCGTTGATCCTACAAACTGATGGATCAACTGTTGGATTAGGAGCTGTACTATCGCAGCGCGAACCCGATGGTACGATTAAACCGATAGCGTACTGGTCACAGAAACTTAATAACGCAGAAACTCGATACTCATCGGCCGAATTGGAATGTCTGGCCGTTGTTCGTTCAGTCGAACACTTTCACGTATATTTAGATGGTATACACTTCGACGTTGTTTCCGACTGCGTAGCTCTTAAATGGCTCTTTGGAGTCGCCAACCCATCCAGTCGTCTCTTCCGATGGTCAGTACGTTTAGGCGTATATGATTATACAGTACACCATCGCCCTGGTAAAGAAAACTTGGCCGCCGATGCTTTCAGCAGAAATCCCGTAGTTATGGCCATAGGATTAGACCGATTTGCTGCTAAACAACACGAAATAAAAGCGTATAATATCCGTAAACCGAAGATAATCGATGGACTCATCAACGTTATCTATCGTGGGATCACTAAAATAGTCGTTCCTCCATCGATGGTTAGCGTGATCTTAAACGAGTTCCACGATGTCATCAATCATCCCGGAATTGCCAAAACATTGAAAGCAATATCGGCCAAACATTGGTGGCCGACCATAGGTATCGATGTCGCCGAATATGTGAAAAGTTGTCACCCGTGCCAGTTAGTGAAGCCGCCCAACGAAACAACACACGGTACTACTCGTCCAATACCGACTCCCGACAGTCCGAATCAACTCTGGTCGCTGGACACCATAGTAATGGGATCGTCCGCCAAAAATACCGCCGCTCAATATATAATCGTATTGGTCGACAATCATTCACGATTTACGTGGGCTGCGGCAGTCAAACGCAATACAACCGAAGCCGCCATTAACTTAATAAGTCGGTTGTTCGACAGCGTTGGCCGTCCGAAAGCTATCCTCAGTGATAACGGTTTGTCGTTTACGTCAAAACGTTTCCGTAAATATCTCGAAGACCGTGGAGTCCGCCATCTCGTTACGCCTCCATATCATCCGCAGGGAAACGGATTAGTTGAGAAGACAAACGATGCGATCGCAAAAGGTATGCGAATGGCTCTTATCGATCGACCGACGGTCCGCTGGTCGACAGTTTTATCAGACGTATTGATCGCACATAACGATCAGATTCACGGCATCACCGGATTCTCGCCAAGATATCTTCACTTCGGTATCGTCGCCGATGGACACGCAGTCCCGATCATAGGACTCGAAGAAGCCCGAAGATTGGCTACCGATAGGTCTCGTAGATCGCAAGATATACGTAAACAAAAACACGACAAAAGGCATCAACAATCAGACCTACGTGTCGGTGATATCGTTAAATACCGTTTACCCGATAATCATCCATCACGTAATAAATTGACGCCGTATTTTATCGGTCCGTGTCGTATAGTTGATAAAATCGGACCCGAAACCTATCGTATCGACCAACTAGACGTAAAAAACGGAACAATGGTTAAGACAATGGTATCGCATTCGTCGAATTTATTACGTTATTACTTACGTAGAGATAGCGTTGTTAATGAGAAACCCGACGGTAACATCCAGAACACGAATCCCGATCCGACAGACGTCCCTAATATTGACATAATTCGCGTGATTCGAGATATCCGAAAACACGAAGAAAACGACACCAATTTCACGAAAATACCGACGCCTATCGCTACCGATATATTGGATATATCCCGTATGGCCGTACCGCCGGTCCTGTCCGGTGGCGAGTGTGTCGCTATGCGCCACTACAAGTCAACAATGGCGACTACAGGTGCGCAATGCGCTTAACAGCACCGGTAGCTGCCATACTGTATACAGTATGCGTTGAGACTTGAATGCGAATAGTCGTATAATATTTGAATCAATAAAAACGTTTTTGTTTAACACGTGTTTTTTTTTGTTAATTACTTTACCGCCGATTCCCCGATTATTGAGTTGGTCACCGCTTACTATGCGATAGCCGACTCAATATATTTCAATTCGATTTCAAAATAAACTTTATTATATTTATTCAAATTCAWTGAAATTATTAGTCAACTCTTCAAATACTGTATCTCTGATACAATTATTTGTAATATAATATTTAATAAATAATAGTAATTGTAAATTATGGTATAAATTATTTTATGTTGATAAAATAATAAAAAATATTACTAAATAAGTTATTAGCAAATACAGTAAAATAGTTATTAAAATAATTCTCAATTATATCTTAAACAAAATGATCTCATAATTTGCTATTAGAAAAAATATTAATGAGAAACTTAAGCTAAATATATTGTCATATTAGAGCCAGAAATGCAAATTTAATACGAATATAAAAAATAAGAAAATTTGTGACAAATTTTGTAATTTAATTAAAATAGATATAATGTATTAATAATACTCTACAGTGGCTTATCGTTAAAAAAGTTTCTATAAAAACGTGTGAATCTATTGTATAAACTATTGGCATATTGCAGTATATCTAACTATACTATTAATATAAAATAAGTGTATAAAAAAAAAGTTTTAGTTATATTTACTTTTAATTGAAATCTAATTTTAAAATTTTCCTAATTTTTCAATTCATTAAACATGAAACCAAACAAAGTTACAGATTAGTTGAATTAGCACTTCCTATAAACTTTCAATAGTAGTGAATCTGCTTTTAGTTGAAAAAGTTATTTATTTGAGAAATTTTATAATAAAAGTGGGACAATATGTTTGCAACTTATCATATACTGTGATATAAAAGAGAAAATCATTTCTTGTGATAACAATTCATAATATTTTGTCATTTAATTTACAGACAAATCTTCAATTGACACATCAATGTAATATTATATAAAGAGATCGACATATTTATTTGACACCCAGTCTTTTGACAACAACTTTAATTAACTCTTTTAAATGATTTGTGTCCTAACAATCGTGTGATTGTAGGCAATGCACAACATTAATAAACTAACGGTAATGTTAATTCATTTAATTAAGTTTAATAAATATTTTATATATATATATATATATATATTGTTTTACATTAAATTTCATTGATTCAAATAAATGTTTTACTCCCAGGTTTTATTGGCATTCATATACATTGTTTACGTTAGCGGCGATGAAAGCGATAAATCAATTGATAAATCCGTGTCTACAAAGAAACCGACGACACAACCAAAGACTACTTCACATGACATCAAAGTCATTGAAACGATATACTCAAGTACTTGGGATAGCGATCGCATACACAGACCAAACATTACGACGAGTGACCAAAATATTAATAACAATCAAAACAACACCTCATTATCAGATCAACAGACAGACAGTACTTCTCTAAATAATAAGAATAAGAAGACAAAGAAAAAACAAACCAAAAGTAAATCGAAGAAAAAGAAGAAGAAAAATAAAACCAATAAAAAGACTGAAAAGACTAATGAAAAAAATGTGACCAAAAGTGATGACAAACTGTCGGAATCAAGTGAAGAGAAAAATATAGATAAACAAAGTAATAACGAAAATGTGACGACAATTACAAATAATGACAAAGAAATTGATACTTCTTTGTCAACAAATCAAACCAATTCTGATCCAAAAGAAGATATATCTGAATCATCGGACACAGAAACTGCAGAAAATTCTGTTCCTATAATTAAATTGATTAATAACGGGACGGATGACACGGAACCGGCAGAAACTATGTTAGGCGGTTACGGACATAAAAAACATGGCGGCGGACACTCATCCAAAAAAGGTGGATCTTATTCGGGATCTGAAAAACATAATGAAGGAAAATATGGAGGTTTGTTGACTTTTTGGTCACTTAATCACATGTTTAATATATATGTTATATTTATAGGCAAATGGAAACACGGAGGAGACGACTATAAAAAATACAAGAAATCCGGTGGAGATAAAGCTTTGCATAAGGTTTACTAAATTTTATATTTTATTTTATATTTCTTATATTCATTTATTTATTGATTAATTAAAATAATAATAATATATTATTAACAATAATTAATTTAATAATTAGGGAGGAAAGGAATATGGAAAATATGGTAAAGATGCTAAAGGACATCATAAACACGGAAAGTTTGAAGGTATGACTGTCCCTAAAATAACTTTAATAAATTCATAGTAACATATAGTGTCAATTAGGTAAAAAATATGGCAAAAAATCACACGGAGGTTCCGGTGGACAGGGAGGCAAAAAAGGGAAAAAATATTACAAAGATAAAGGATATAAGAAAAAGGTATTATATACACAATAAAACAATATATTTATATAATACAGAATATTAAACACAAATTTATTATTTTATTTTTTTATTTTAGGGTTTTAAAAATGTTTACCATAAAGAAGAGTTTGGTCGGTATATAAAAATAGATGATTGCATTCAAATAATTAATTAATTTTTAAAACTTATTTTTTTGCTAAACAATAGGTGATCACAAAACATATTTCGATGAGTTTAGAGACAAAGGTATAAAAAAATATATAAATAAAATTAATTAATTATTGTGTAAACATTTAAATTTGTTGTTTTTTTTGTCTACAAAAAACTAGACTTCAAAAAGAAATGGAAAGGATTTAATGATCACTACGACTATAAAGGGGGCAAAAAATGGAAGGGAAAGGATGGCAAACAATACCATAAAAAGAAATCAGGTTTTCATTCATTTATAATCATTTGATTACTAATACATTTACACATTAGACTACTTAATGTCTAAAAAATGTTTTTATTTTGTATACATAAGAAACTAAAAAATGTTTTTTATTTTTATTAAATTAATGCTCCATTTATTTAATAGTCGGCGATCACCACAAAAAGTTTGGAAAAGGTATACTAAAAATTGTGAGAAAAATATTATTTTTATTTAAAAAATATTTTTACATTTATTTTAAAGGCTCGTATAAGAAGCATAAATCTGATTCTCATAAAAAGGGTATTAAAATTAAATTAATATATTTAAAATTAATTTATCAGTTTAATTATTATTAATAGTCAAAATATATTTGATAATTTATATTAATAATCTTTATTAGGTGGCGATTATTATAAATCAGGTCACGGATCTAAAAGTAATAAAGGGGGACATAAGTCACATAAAGGTCATCACTCAAAGAAATCACATAAGAAAAAGGGAAAGGGGAAAGGTCACCACTGATGACCACTTTATTATTATAGATAACATTGTGATTAAACATTTTATATGTTTTATSCTATTTTTAATGTATAGTCCATATCATTCATGAGTACTTTTATACTTAAATAGCTTTTTGCATACATTTTTAAATTTAAGTATCAGTTAATTTTATATATAATATTATTAGTAGCATAATTTAATATAAAATTAACTTCAAATAAGTTATACGTGACATTAATCATATATTGAAGTAAATAAATATAATATACAGGAGTGGATTTGCTGGATAATAATATTAAAGCAATAATTAATTTTGTACTATATTTATTGTGCTAAAAGCATAAATAGTCTATTAATTATTTAAAAGCAAATTGAAAAATAAAGTAATAATATATTTATAGTGTATATTAAAATTTTATTTAAATGAAAATGCAATTTATTTACTAACAATCACGTAATCAATTTATTTAAAATTATGTTCAAAATAATGTTTTAAATAAACACTTATTATATTTATTATATCTAATGAATTCACAAAATATTGATCGATAATTTCTGGTCCCAAATATACTAAATGTAATTTTTGGTACATTTATGATATAATATAATAAAATTAAATACATTTAAATCTTTTTTTTCATATGAATTGTTACAGATAAAGGAATAATTAAATTATGTAACAATATATATATGTAATATTAGGTGATATAATTTTTTCAATAAAAGATTTATAAAAATTAAAGACTTCTATTTAATTTATATTAAAATGTAATTTTTTTAAATTACATCTCTTATGAAAAACATTTTCATTAACCAATTTCTTTCTTATAATTAATAATAAATTAATTTTTTGATTGTAAAACTTTCTAAGTTAATAACAAACAAAATTTCATTTTATATAACAGTCTTATAATACATATTTTCAATTGACTGATGAAAGGCAATAATAGCCCACAAACTTGTGGTTCTTATCATAAAAGTCTATCATTTACTAATTGTCAACCTTTTCATCACTTCACACAAGTTTTTTACATATATTTAATCAATAATACTATTTTATATTAATATTCATATATATATATATATATATTAAATATTTTTACAAATTTATAATTAACATATTGTATAATAGCACTGGTGTTTAGAGATTTATATATATTTAAGGTATAATAGATAAAAGTTAAACATTAATAATTTATATTATTAAGAAAATCAGACAATAATCTCAATAACTGTTACTATAAAATGCATAACTTTTCTATTTATTTAGGTATTCCTAATTCATTAATTATTTACATCATTAAATTAATTAATAATAAACTTTTATGTGTAATCAAACGTTCATTAATAACAATATATTATGCAAAATATATCAAAATCTATTCAATATATCATATTTTGGATTTAATTTATAAAACTAATGAAAATAAAATATTGATTGTAATTTATAATTCAATTTATAAGATATATTAATCAAGACAAATAAACTATAACTATTATGAGGTCTATAAAACACAAATTTTAAAATAATGATTTTTGCATTTTTTAAAGAATAACCTGGAGCAAAAATTCGATGTAATAATATTATATATTTATATATTTTGTATATACAAACACTTCATTAACTAAATATATAAACATTTTCTTCATTAAATTCACTTAAATAATACAACAAATAATCCATAATATATATATTGTATTGTATTATTGCTATCATATGTTAAATACAGGTATAAATCAGACTTTTCTTCTTTACATATAATAAAGTATAAGTATTACTATTATTATTATACAAACAAATAATACAAATAAAATCAAATGTTTTATTTAATAATAAGAATTTAAAAAATTGTCCAAAACTAATAAAAATAATAATTAATACATTAATTTTGAGTTGTGTCAGGACCTCATGTGTATTAGATATATTGAATCTAATATTTAATTTGTAAATTAACCAAAACAATTTAGAAATTAAAATAAATTGTTTTGATATTTACTAAAATATTTTGATAGACATTATTAAAATTAGTCAACAAAATCAATTTAACCTTTTTTAAAAATATTTATTGTAATTATTGTAAAAATGGCTATTTTTTAATTAAAAAATAATTGAATTGTTAAACAACTGTATTAAACCTTTTCGCTGATGAGTTCAGCGTTTGGAGAGATTCGTTGGGAATTTGGATCATTTGTTTCAAATTTGCTATAAATTGCTTTAACAATAGGACTTTGTGTGGAACTGGCGTTTCCTGATATGGGATTCGTAGAGATGTTCATAATATTAGAGTTAGTCGATGATTGTGTTCCGTGTTTTGGTTTCGGTAAATGTCTGTTCTTGAACTCCATTTGGCATATCTTCATGATCTCCACCTGAGAGGCCAACTTCTGGATCTCTTCTTTTAGTTCTTCGTTTTCCTGATACAAGTCTGTTGTCTCTTCGTGAACGAGACCGACGCCATTGATTGAGAAGGAAGCGGTCACACCCCGTGCCCGCACACGATTGTCCCACGAGTCTCCCTGTCCTTTAATTACTCTATAAAACTGTTAAACCGATAAACAATTTTTTAATTAACAAATTGTAAAAAACATATATAAAAATTTATATTAAAAAAAATTGAACCTTTGGTCCAAAAATCAATATAACAGTAGTCGTAGTACTCATCTGTGTCCTCACAAAACCAAAAAAGTATTTAACGTCTGGTCCAGCGTTTGGAAGAATTAATATACTATTTTGTTTGGCGTATAATAATAACAACAGATTTATTTGTGTTAAAAAATTATATTAAATAAGATTATATGATATAAACCAAAATGAAAGACATGTCTTACTGGATAAAAATCATTGAGATATTGACGAGAGTTATGTTATATATGGCATATGTTATATATTTTGCTTCATTGAAAAATGATTCGGCATTTCGTACGTTATAACAGACTTTAATGCCCCACAAGAGAAACAAAAATTCCCCTATAATTCAATAGTTAAGACAATTATTAATTATAAGTTATTATTGTCTATATTATAGTTTATTATCAGTCAATAATTAAGACAATTATGTCATTCAAATATAAGTTTTCCAATTAATAACAGCAATAATTTATAGTAAGATAATGTTATTATTAATTATTTAAATTATTTTCAGGAAATTTAAAATTTTCTAAATAACAAATTTTTCTAAATAAAACTAGACATTAAAATAATTTTTTAATTCTGTCTTAAAATTAAGTTTTTAATTCAAATTTTTACAGTTAAATACTAAATGTATATAAGTATATAAACTGTATATCATTTAAATTAATTAAAGTTATAATTACTGCAAATGAATAAATAATTATTATAATTTTGTTGAATAGTTGTTTAATAGAGTAATTTTTAATATTTTTAATTTGTTATCATTGAATAGATTTTTAAAATTTTAAATAACTTAATACTTAATGGATTTTATGCTATACTAAGTTTTATAAAAATAACTTTATTGAATAATACATTATTTTATATAATATAATATTAAGTGAACTTTTATTGAAAAATAATATTTAATGTAAAGCCATGTTAAAAAACTACATAATATTAATTAAATAAAATTCAAGCATAATAAATTGACTTGTAAAATTAATATTATTTGTATAAAATAATTTGTGACAGTTTATCTATAAATTTGAAACAAACTGCATTAAAACATGTCAAATGGTCAAAAAACGTTGAGATATTAACACTTATATATATATATATATATATATGTATGTGTGTGTGTGTGTGTGTGTGTGTGTGTAGTTAATTTTGAAACCAAGTGTATAATACAAAAATCAATATATTTTAAATGTTTGTTATTTACAAAAAAAATTAATTGGAAACTTTGTCTATTCCGGTATATTTTAGTATTGTATATTACTCTACAATAACAACATATTAGCAAATAGATGTATTTATAAGTGCTTTTATTTATTAAAAAAATATATAATAAATAATTTGAATGCAAACCAATAACAAGACTGTGGTCCCACCAGTTGTAATCGCATTGTTTAAATTTCAATCCATTCCAGTCAACTAAATATATAGCTTCCGGAGGAGCACTGATAGTCCAAGTGCTAAGATATATAGCCATTACTAATAGGATAGGAAAGAGCCATTGGAGGAGTTGTTTGTCAGTTAGTTTGAGTTTATGCGCCGATTTGACTCTATATGTGAGGGAAACTCTCCACGTCTTGAGTAATAGCGCTGAATAAGTGACACAAAAGCCTAGATGTCGGGTCCATTTGGTTATAACACACGTCCACACATCCAGCACTGGAAATATGGCCGCAGTCTATCAAAATGCAGTCAATTTGAATAAATATGTCATCAAAATATTAGTTAAATGTCAAACTTATAGTTTATATAGTATCTAATGTATGCATTTGATGCCAATTTTATGTCAAATACAACAAATTTATGATATCATATTTGATATAATATATAATGTTTATGCAATAGATATTAAGTATGGATAGGGAGGAAAAACTAATAAACTCAATGCAAATTCAATGTAATCTTATTATTATTATTTATGTTAGAGAAATAAAACTATGTATTTATCAAATGAAAGCCATTTAATAATTGGCTTCGGATTAAAGGGTAGTCTACAGTATATTCACACAACTAAATGTTCATTTTAGACAAACAATGCATTTAATACATTTTGACGGAAAAGTAATTACATTTCACTAGTTTTTTGTCTTAACAATTATAACGTTAGATTAAATAACACACCATTGAAAAGGTAAGCTATCGGAGGAAATTATAGTTATAGTACATATAAATTTATACTACTATTTTTATAAATATACAATAATTATCAAATATATATATATTTATATACAGTATACAACTCTATATACAGTATACACTGGCAATTGAAGTGTTTTTTATGAAAAAGTAATTATATTTAATGACAATAAAAACATTACCTCTGAATACATGATAGAACAGCCCAGAAGAGTGATGCACAGGAAGATAGGAGACGCGACTTTAATGACTTTCAATTTACGGAATCGGTATATATATAATCCCAATACTATTGTAAATATAATACACAACACTGTTATTGTTAGCAGTGATATCCTGAACGCCCAGTTGTACGATGAAAGACAGGGAGATTCATCTTCACAGACATCACAACCGGCCGCACATCGCTTACAGTAAAACATGTAATCATAGGAAGGGCTGCCAAAAAAAATCAATGATACAAATTAGTTATTTTTTAAATTTATTAGGTTTTATTAATGCAATTACTTTTTGCCATTACGTTTATCTTCAAATGCCTGTTCAACTACCGACCCATTAAACATAGGACCCAAGTTAGCCACAGCTGAATGATATCTAACATATGCAAAGTTTAATAGTTAATAATGATATAAATGTATATATGTTTTAGTAATTGAATAAAAGCGTACCCATCACGACACCGACATTTATATCCTCCTCTAAACCATCCCTGTCCTTTTGCAAATATGCACTTTAAAATTATTATTATAACATAACATTAATATTTTAAAATATTAATTTACGTTTCATATACATTGCTCATCATATTAAATTAAATTAAATATTAAAATACTATAATAATATTTTCTTATTAATACAATAATATTATTATTCAAAAATAATGTTTTTAGAAATATTCAAATAATTTAAAAAGGAAAACATTTATATTTTTATAATAAATAAGTCAAATATTGATTTTTATAATAGTGTATATCATAGATATATATATCTATAATTTAACAAATATTTTTTACCTTTTTTGCCTATTTATGAAATTTCTTGAAAAAAATTGTTTAATAATCAATATAAAATGACAAAAACAATATATCATAATATGATATGTCATTAGAGTAATCTATAAGTTTTAATTACCGTAGACTCTCACTTAACTAAAGTAATTTAATGTAAATTCTAGCTTTAATAGTGATGACCACCATATCATTTGTATGCAATACATCATTAATTGGCATTCAATTGGATGTAATAGGTATTAATAGATGATTGTTAAGTATCCGACAAAAAATATAAACATTAATTGCTTAACTGTTTGACATTATTATCTTTAATGTATTGCATATATAATATTTAAATTCACTTTTATTCATAGAATTTTTATTTAATTTTAAGTATTACTATCATTACAATTGTAAATCATTTTTTCGATTAAACACTGAATTATTGACACAAAATAAATAATTCTTAATAATTCTTATTTCCAAAATTACAAGATTTTAGTTTTGTTAAAGCATTGGTTATTTAACATAACATAACATAAAAGCAGTATAATATAAAACATAATAGAAATATTAATTGTCTTAAAAATTTAAAAATTTCTAATGCATAAAATGTTGAAATTTCTATACTAATATTTACTGTATTTAAACTTATAAAAAAATGTAATTGGAAAACTAAATTAAATTAATATTAATTTTGAATTAATTTTACATTTACAATTAATTACAATCACGTGTGAAAATGATATATCATAATTAAATGTTATATTGTTTTAGATTATTGTATATTGTTATAGATCAATAGTTTTGTGTGATTAATTATACTAAATATGAAAATATAACTAATTAATAATCTAAAAAATTTTACATTTTTAACTCTTAAATCCCGATCAGTTTTTTTAAATAGTCTGTAATTATGATTAATATATAGTCCATAATTTAGAGCAATTTGTTAAGAAAATTATATTGTTTAGTTTTGATTGTTTTCATTTAATTAAATATTTTGCATAGCAAATAACATTTATAATAATAATAATTATTATTATATAAATATAATAATTTGCAAAACATTTACTTTAATAATAATTTTAAAACACTAAAACTACTGATAATGTTTGAAGAGAAAAAAACATTATATTAGAAAATGTTTTATGAATGTTATCATAACTATATAAAGTCTGTGACAGAAGGGTGCGAACTGGTTTTTGCTTAATATCTCTATAACTAATTGATCTAGATCAATAAAAATTTTATGACAAACATGGAATCCTGGAACGTATAACTTAGTATAGTTAGTTTTTATAGATTTATGCCATATCTCTAAAACTATAATAAATAGCTAAATTCTGATAATGTGAATTTAAACTAGGTGAAAATTCATTAGACACGTGTTTCGGTAATTTTTTAAAAAATTAATAAATTTTAAACAAAAAGCAAAAAAATGTAAAATTTGTGATATTTTGATATTATCTAGGAAAAAAGTGTCTAGGTATTTTGTTATGAAATTAATCTATTATTATTTGTTATTTTACAAGGAATAATTATTCTATTTACAATTTTTAATTATCATACTTAGTTTTTGAGATATTAAAGAAAAACATTTTTACCATTATATAAATTTAGTAACAAATATAATTAATAAAATTTTATAAGAAAATATTATATAATGGTAAAAATGTTTTTCTTTAATATCTCAAATACTAAGTATGATAATTAAAAATTGTAAATAGAATAATTATTCCTTGTAAAATAACAAATAATAATAGATTAATTTCATAACAAAATACCTAGACACTTTTTTCCTAGATAATATCAAAATATCACAAATTTTACATTTTTTTGCTTTTTGTTTAAAATTTATTAATTTTTTAAAAAATTACCGAAACACGTGTCTAATGAATTTTCACCTAGTTTAAATTCACATTATCAGAATTTAGCTATTTATTATAGTTTTAGAGATATGGCACATACCGGTGCTTAGCTACATAAGCTGAAATCTATAAAAACTAACTATATATATATATATATAAGCAAAAACCAGTTCGCACCCTTCTGTCACAGACTTTATATATATATATAATTTATATCATAAATAAATAATGAAAAATAATATATTGTATAAATATAAAAATAAAAAGCTTTTTTGAAAATAGCACTATTGTTACGATATAGTCATTATAATAACCATTAAAATAATCATTACGTTCGCTAAAGTCAAGAATATTTGAACAAAAAAATGTTGATTTATGATAAAAGGGGTGAAATAGTTGTGATATAAGAGCAAAGTTCTGGTAAAGATATTGAATGGATGGATGAGTACTCACTTGACTGGTCTCTGAATGGCATTTATGAGTTCCCTCGAGTGTCAACACAACCGACTGATAGTTAGGATTATAAAGTTGTTGTTTATTTGTCTCGCATTGATTGATGTCTGTGCCGCTGATGTCGATGTCGGCACTAATGATACCACGGATTGATTTCTCGTTATGAATGTTGTCATTGATATTGTTTTGTTCGTTAGTCTCTAATATTAAGGCCGTATATGAAATAAACCAAAGTCTGAGATCACAGTCAAAGTAAACGCTCGACCACTCAGAGCCATCCTTTGTTGATGACTGACCCCTTTGAAGCAATTGTCCAAAAGCTGTGGGAATCCACGTGTTGTCCAAACTTAACAATTTGTTTTCATCGATGACATTGTGTTTTGTATCCATTTCAAGATATCGTATATTTATAGCATTGTTTTGGACGACTCGGTCTAAAATCCAGGCGATTCTCAATCGATATATATTTGAATCCATAAGTATAAGCTCTCGCATTGAGCTCTTCATCATTTGGTAGCCATCGCTGTCGGGATTGTATTTCGACAATATCTTTGACAAGAATTCAATTGTCTTCCAAGTCTTCTTGTATTGATTGTTATTAGTCAATGGTTTTGTCACAAACTCAATGGTGTTTCTTCTCATTCTTAATAATGTGTTTTCATTTAAAATAATTTGTTTCTTATTTTTATCGCATTCATAGCCTTTGCTTATGCCATGAATTGTTTGTAATATAACCTAAAATAATGAGTTTCAGTGAAACAATTAAAAAAAATCTTTATTAACTCAATTAAAAAAAAAGTTTTAGATTTACATTAATTAAAATTTAGTGTAACATTAATTTTTTTAAATATAATTTTCATCTAATAAATTGATTGACTGAAACAGGTAAAGCAAACAATTTACAAATTAAAAGCTTTAAAATATTTTATTTTTATATTTTTTTCATTAGTAATTTGTTTCAATTAAAAATTGTATTATGAATAATATAAACTTTAAAAATAAAATATTGCACATAATTTTCAAAATATATAAATTTACTAATTATTATGTTTGTCATAAGCATTTGCTTAAAAATAATTTAATAAATTTTTAACTACTGTAAGTATTTATTATCTAATAATTTGAATGTAAAAACTTTCAAATTAATTAAAATGATATACTATTAGAGATGGGCAAATTAAAATTTCTAATGAATTTCTCTAAGAAAATTTCTAGAAAGTTCCTCAGGAATAAATTTTACTTTATCATTATACTATGGGATCCCCATATCTATAGCTATTGTAATACTGTATAATAATACATAATATACATTACACTACTATATTAATGGAATTATTATTTATAAAATTTAATAAAATTATCTAAATTACAGTTTTTGTATAATTATTTTTTTCACTTTGAATATTAATTAAAATACTAATAATAAAATTTAGTTGATATTTATTGTTTTAATGAATTGTTTCAAAATAAAAAATATTAAAAGAGCAAAATTAAAATGTGGATCCCATAGACAGAAATTGATTTTAGAAACTTTCCATAAATTTTAATGTACACTATTATAACACTTAGTATAGCTTAAAAACATGATTTAGATTTTATAACTTGAATGTAAAAATATGTTATTAAATCTCAAAACTTATATATAACTATAAATATGTTGTTTATTAATGTTTTCACTAAACATGCAAAAAATCATTGCTATAAATATACGATAATTATGAATAAAATTATAAAAATTATTAATTTTACCTCATTTTGACTGTAATTAGGTGTCGGAAATATATTGTCTTCAATGAGAATAGGAGTCAATTGTGAAGACACTTGTGATGACAATGTAATCGAAAATAATAATAAAAATATTTCAATTTTAACACTAATATAAATCAATTGAACAAATATGACTTTGAAGACAAATAATGTGGACTTTTGCTCAAAAAGTGTTTTAATTGACATAATATTTGTAAAGATATTATTTCATTAATATTTATATATCAATAATTGTATGAATAATTGATCTCAAAATTTGTTTCCAACATTTATGATGTTATTTTGATAAATTTCAAAAATAAGTGTTATATCCAAATGCCATCCAATTAGTTATAAATATACAAATTTGAATAATGATTCTGTAAATAAAATTAAATATAAATTAATGTGTTGTTTCTATTATTAAATTATAATTATTTTAAAAATAGTAAATGTTGTAAATAATATTCAATGAAATAATAATTATTATTATTAATATTAAGATAAAAACGTTTATTAATAGGTTTTCAAATTAAGATTCAGTATATGTGTAGTGTTGGTCTATAAAATTGGATATTTTATTAAATCATATTTTATTATATAAATCAATAGATAAAAATTGAAGTGAAGATGAAATGTTGGCAAATGTAATGGTTTTTTGATGCCATAAAATGGACTGTCATTTGGTTTTAGCACAAATTCAAACATAAATACAATACATATTAAATAGAAATAAAAAGAAATTTGCTTTTTTGTGACAAACATTAAAACATTGTTTAAATTAAGTTTGCTTTTCAAATGTTACGCAAAAATGTTTACAATTATAGTCTTAAAGTTAAATATCTTAAATCTACAGTTATTTTTCTGTAAATAACAAATAAAATTGAATAATCCAGGTCGATAATTTTATAAAATTAACATTATAATTAAATATTTATTAATTTTATTATTATTTTCTTTTTTATATATTAAATTTATTATAAGTTATATGATTAAGACTTTATTTTACAAATATTAAAAAATAGAAAAATAAAATGTATTTATTGTATGTCCAAATTGAGATTAAAATAAACTCAAATATAATTCAAGATTAAATTTATAAGAAATTACATTTATTTTCACTAATTATTTGATTATATAAAGACTATCCAAAATGTATTTAAAACATTTACATTATTTTTCAACAATTTATAATTAAATACATACGTTTAATTTTTGTCAAACTTTTTAGGTAAAAAATTGTTTTACTTTTCAAAAAAATAATTTTATTTTTTTTATTTTTTATGGTACCATACTTTCATTTACTGTATTTTGATACTTATTATATAAATTATTAAGTTAATTGCAAATAACAAATGAGTTTCAATATCTATTAAATTTGTATACAATATAACGTATTATTAGCAAAAATCGATATCTTTTAACAATGTTTATATAAAATATTAAATAGACAAATAATTTTAAAGAAAAAATAATTTATTTCTATATATGTTTTAAGACAAAACATACACAATATTTTAATTTAATTTAATAATTACATTTAATGGATATAATTTTGGTTTATAAAACATGTAATTTTTGTACTTAAGTGTTGATTTCAATTTTGATAAGACATGACAAGTTTTCTGCATAATATATTAATAATATATTTTAGTTGTCATGTATGTATAAATTTTGAAATATTATTTATATAAATCAAACATATAATATATTCTTTTAATATAATATTTTAAATTTTATATAAATATAAAAATTTATACATTTATATATTCATAACATTTGTATTTAATATATAACAATAGATAAAATTGAAATTATATTTACCTCTATTTGATTTCCACGAATTTATTCACATGTATAAAATTATTATTCAAAATGTAAAATAATATGAAATTTTGAATCGATATGATTTGAAAATTTTAATTTAGATAACATTTTACATGATATTATTGAGAATTTAAATTGTATTTATATATCTAGTTTTGCATTTTTTAGAAAGGCAATAATATATATATATATAGTGTTTCAATTAATGATAATTATAAGAAACAATCATTTAATTATTGTTTAAATGACACTCACATACACATAATGTTAGCTTAATTTCAATGTAACGACAAAAAAGTAATAGAAATGATTGCAACGATCAGCGCATTCAATATTATGTAAGAGTTGGACACAAATTGAATATTAGATTATTATTATTATATATTTTATAACACAAGTGAGTAGTATTGCTCGCTATGTCATTCATCGTGTATGTCATACAATATGCTTTTCGATGGCATCCCTGACCTGTCAACACATATTCAACTTATTTGAGACAACAGGCAAAACAAATAACATTTACTTCACTCTCCAAACCCTTAGAAAGAAGACATACTTATTAGTATTGAAGTAAATGTCATATTATTGTAGAGATAGAGAGCGCATGAGTTTAACTAATAACTGGCATATTCTTGCTGTTAGTGGCGGTGTTTGACTACATCCACACATACTGTATCTTATATTAAAGTATATCCAGAATCCAGTGATTCAGTAGCGCACAGCCTATTATAGCACAGTTAGCGTCAAAAATATGGCTATCCTTTGATGTAAACTTTGCTGTCAAAGCATTATATGTGTAACAAAAGTAACCTTTTATTCAAAGTATTACATAATTTAATTGATATATTTATATATACTCTAAATCTAACTCTTATATAACTGAAATAATATTTTTATATACAGTATACTAAAAAAATTACACAACAAACTCATGAATAGATATAATTTAATTTTCCTGAAAACTTATTATTGCAAACATTTCTATAAGTTATTTACAATATTAAAATTAAAACGTTATCTTTTCAGTGATTCGACAATCAATTTATTTGTTATTAATGTTAAAACATTTATAATATATTATATAAGTATTGAATTTTGTGATCATATTATATTAATTTATGTAATCTAATTATGCATATAATATATTATAAATGTAAAATAAATTATTAAAACATTACATTTAACTTATTTAGTTAAATTATTACATATTAGTATTTAATGATTTAAAATAAGCAAGTAACAAAATTTTCAAAAAGATTTTCAATAAAATGATTACAAAATTTTAAAGGCGTCATTCAGATAAGACGACCATGTACAGGAGGGGAGGGGGTTTAGCAAAAACGGACAATTATATGGAAAGGGGTAAACGGCTTATGGACGTCCATTTTTCTAAGTTATACAAATTCAAGTTCTATATTTTTAAAAATTAAGTTAAAATATTACGATATACTTATATATATATTATCACTGGAAGTTTGAGTAAATATTTTATTGAATATTTTCAATTTTAAATAAATTTTCTATTAACTAATTATAACATACATTAAATTTATTTAATTTACTAACTTTAATAATATTAGATTAAGCGCACAATGAAACCAATACTTTCAAAACAACAATTGTATAGTTTATTATACGATAGATTATATCATTTAATTTGTAACACATAGACAATCATATTATTTTTTAATGTTTTGTTTTGAAAGTATTGGTTTCATTGCGCGCTTAATCTAATATTATTAAAGTAACTATAATTATGCTAAATGTTGAATATAAATGTTTATAAAAACATTAATTTATGCTATGATTATAGTCTATAGCTTTTATTATTTTTTATCAGCAAATAAATGAAATTATAAAATAAATTGATGTAAATAAATAAATTAAAAATTTACATAATCAGATAAATCATAGTTATAAAAAATCTTAAATATAGAAAACATTTATTTATTACTGTTTTAAAAATTAGATATAATTATTATATATTATTTGTATTGGACAAGTTATGTTTAATCAATTAATATTTTACTTTAAATATTAATTAATATATTAATATACAATTGTTATACAATTCATATTTTAAAAAACAATTAATTTTACATTTTTAATTAATATTAGTTTTTAATTATAATATTTGGAGGTTTCGAATAAATGGACGTCTTAACTAACGGTTTACATTAAATAAGACGAATATAGATTTGGGGAGAGGGGGGCAAAAATTGTCTAAAACATATGGACGTCTTATCTGACGAATCCAAACATTTACATATATTATGATATTTAGTATAAGTTGTTAGTATAACTTAATTTAATCATTTAATTAAATCAAATATCTTAATATAAATTATATATGCAATCAACGTCTTAATAGCAAAATTATACTTTTTGTTATGTGTTAGTATAATAAATACAAATTGATTTTATTATTGATAAAATTTTTAAAAATCTATAAATAGTTAATTAAGGTTTTATATAAAATATATAGATATTAAAAAACATTTAACAAAAGCGCATAACTCTATTAAATATTTTAAATATCATATTTAAATAATTGTATCAAATCAAGTATTTCACTCATAAATTTTTATATCCATAATAATTTTTTTTTAGAAATTAAAATAAGATTAACTGTAATTTGCATAAATCTTTTAAATTTTATTCAATAACTTATTAATATTTTTTTATATAAAGTATGTAAAATCAAATAAAATTTACTAAAATAATTTATACAATAGTCATAAATATATTTGTAATAATTTCTGATAAATGTTATCTATTTTATAGCACAAGTTTATTAATATATTTACTCTATGTTATAAATTTATTAAATATTACTAATTAGAAAGTAAAGTGTTAAACATAACGTTTAAATAAGTTTAATATATTTTAAAATTGAAATTATTAAATATTTATCTATATTAAAAATATATAATATATTAATTTTACTAATAAACAAGGAATATATTGATTTGTATTTAATGCGATAATTGAATATTAAAATTAATAATATTGATAGGGTGTATAAATATATATAAAAGATTATTATATAAACTATTAATTAATACATGAAATATTTAAGTCTAGAAAATTAAGACAAATTGTGATTTATAATCATTTATGTAAAAATACTAACAAATATTGTAATTTCATAAATCATTACAACTATAGATGACTCTACCAAACATTTATTCCGTAAAACTACTTGTATTAATATTTTATACATATATAAGTAATAATAAAATAATAACAAAATTATAGATATTTTAGTTAAAATATTTTATTTTATATATATTTCTTTGTCATCTAAATTTGTCAAATAATATTAATTTGTACAATTAATTTTGGGGTTCAAATTTGTTTTATAATAATTTCATTTATCTATAACAAACTAATTTTTGCAAATTTAATTTTATAAGTAATAACAAATATATTAAAAACATTTAAAAATTGCTGAGTCAGTTAATTCATACAATTAAAAAAATTTTTAGTGATTTAAGGATATATGAAGTTTATATAATTAAAAAATGACAACAATTAAAAATTTACAATTTTTGTGAAAAAACAATAAACTTAATAAAATTAACAAATAATAATATTTAAATATTAAATAAATAGGAACAAAAAAAACACTATTGAATAGTTTTTTAAAATACAGATAAATACATTTGATGTAAAAAAGGTTTTTTTATATAAATAATAATAAATATGAAAATCCTAAGTTTTAAAAATATATTATTAATTATGTTTCTAATTGGTTTAGGTAGGGTTGATCAGACAGCATCTGCCAGGCCTCACGATTGGACAGTAAGCCGTCGAGCAGTGGCTTCATATGTTGGGGACATAGTTTGGCAAATGCATCGTAAACTGGTAAACAAATTGCATTTATGAACGACACTTGCATTTTAGGCAATTCATCCTTTTTCTCCCTATTCATCATATCCTGCAATCAATTCAATTAATCATTAATATCAATGATGTTTATAATAGTAAAGTAATTAATTGTTAACAAATGATATGAACATACAATGGGTTCAATATTGAGTTGTTGTTTTTCAATATCACCTTGCTCAAAAAATTCAGACGCAACTAATTCAGCCACAACTCTCTGAATTTCCCTATAAATACATAACATTTTATTAATCAATATTTTTAGGATATTTTACATTAACATTGATTTTGTAATTCTCGGAGAAAAACATCAAATTCTATATAATATATATATATATATATATATATATATATTGTATATATTTCATTTTATGCAAAATATATATTGTATAATGTCTTGAAATATAAAAATATATATAAATACATATATCTATTGTAAATGTAATAATAGTGGAAATTATATTTAGTGAAAATTCAATTTAAAAATCTTATTCAAACAAATGTCAAATCTAATTATCTCTCTTTAAATGTTTAGTTAAGATTTATATTATCTTCAATTTAGTAATTCCTTAATTAGATTCTAAAATTAATAACTATTATGAAATTTCTTTAATTAAACAAATAAAATAATAAAATATTAATAGATATATTAATCCCATAACAATTGTTAAATAAATTTTTTAATGAATATTCCCTCTGAATATATTAAATATGATATTTTAAATAAACCTAAAATTGTTTCTTTAAAATCTTTTTTTAATTCCATAATAAATAATTAATAATTATAAAGTGTTCATTTAACACATTATAAAATTTTAATAAAAATAGTAATTAACTAATGTAAACGATGCGTATACTTAAAGTACAGTAAATTTAATATACAATAAATATATTGTATTTATTATAATRAGTACAGTATATAAATAATGTGAATGTGTTTTGTGTAATGTAATGAATACCAGGGTTTAGTTATTGCTCCGATATCACAGCACGTCATCAGAAGACTTCTGAGTAGTGATCGATGCTCTTCATTGCCCATCCAATCATACTCTTCAGACTCAACTAATTTGAAGAACTGATCCCTATTTCTGAAATAAACGGCTAAATCTGTGGCGAGTATTGCTTCTTCTAAAACATGAACCACTCGTCTATACTCTTCAGGCGAGAGATGACTTAGTATTTGATTTCCCTTTTAATTAAAATAATGTGGGGTTTGTTTCAAATGAAAATTTTGTGATAAAATTATTAAAATAAGTGACTATTACTTGACTACTCAAAATCATTAGTGATTGATCGAAATGGTGGTGCTCTAGAGTACTGGTCGAATATAACTGTGCTAATGGTGAACATGACCTATAAAAAAATAATAGATTATATACTGTATAATAGTATAATAATAAATATAAATATAAATATAAATGATATATAATGTATAAATTAATCATTTATATGATTAAAAACAGTTGTTATCATTTATATGTCATTCTTTATATACAGTATATTACACTTAAAAGAGTTGTCACTCTTTCTGATACTAACTTTATTTGAAATGAATTATTGGTTCCCCTGTGGTCTAAGTCATGGCAAAGACAGGCGACAATGAGGGCTAAAGTCTCCAATTCACCCAAAACTCGACAATATTGGGTATTCTTTATATATATATATAAATAAATAAATAACACACAAAAACAAATAGTTTGACAATTAAATCAATTCATTATCTCATAATTTATTGAATTGTTTTTCGATAATAAAATTTATTATCAATAAATTTTTCTATATAAAGACAAATAAACTCTTTAAGACAATTACCACTAATATAGCGAACATCATTTGTGCGACATTGAAGGCATGTCTCCAATTGTGGTACAAAACTGGACGATAATTCTTCTTAACGCTGAGTATCCATTTGCAGAGTACCTGAGTTTGACATATAATTAATTATATGAATTTACAAATCATTTATATACGAGATATCCATTATTTATGTGCAAACCTTGTAATCGATTTGAAACCTTTCAATTAAATCGAGATCAAGAAACATACGAATACAGGCTTTAATCATAATATCTTCTTCGAGACTAAAATCATTGAAACGAAGACTCGCTAAGTGTAGAGCTGTTGTCGATGGGATCAGTTGTCGCTACAGTTTTATAAAATAATTATTATAAATAAATTTATTGAATTATTAGAAATCTTTTTTCAAAAAAAAAAATTAATTAATTTTGTTTCTAAAACTAAATTCTCGTTTAATGTATATTTTTATTAAATTAAATAAAAGACAAAAAACTTGTTTCTAAGTCTTTAAATTTATACGTAATTTTGACTCAAATTTTCTTTTAGTAAAAATCACTGAAAATTCAATTGAAATAAAAACAATAATAGACTTACAGCTACTTTCTGGGCTTCATCTTCTTGAGCCGAGGCGTGATATGAAAGCACTTCAAGGGTTACGCGCTGTTTGGCCATCGCTTTAATAGCCTTTTCGTAGAGCAATGTATTGGCGATTCCCATCCCCGCAAATATGGCAAAAGCCTACAAATATATTATAAGGAATGTATAGCCAGTACTAAGTAATCAATATATCGATTGATTATCAATCTTTCAACACTATATACATGATATGCACTCCAAATGTTATGATTTCTACTATTATTTCCTCAGTTAAAGTGTTTGACAAAACATTTATTATATCTTCTAAATAACAGAAACTCGTAAAACATACAAAATATATAACACATATATTATATAATATTATATAATATAATATAACAAAACCAAAACAGCACTCAAGTGTTTAGTTATTTAGGATAAGAATAAAATCCAATAAAAACTCACTTCAAATAAGTTTTCATCGTTTTTATTAAATGGTCTGCCATTAAGTTTATTAATGAGCTGAGAAACTCCGATAATCTTGTGGTCGGCATTATATATAGGCATACATAAGATTTGTTTGGATTGAAACCCTTTAGGGGTGTCCTCATCAACGGATGGATCAAATCTTGGATCTTCATATGCATCGGGAATGTTAAGTGTCTCTCCAGTGTTGGCCACATATCCGGTAATACCAATATTTATAGGAAATCTGCCCTCAAAAGGACTAAGTCGTGTCTCACATTCATCACTACTGCTGAGGTCTTCAGCCTCGAGATCAAAAACACGTGAAAAACTGAGGCATTGATTTCCTTCGACTAAACTCTCAATCGATTCATTTGATTTGGAGGGCAATAAAGTTTCACAACTGTCTTCTAAACCAAAATCCATGTCTTGTAAATTATCGGCTAATAACAAGATCTGACAACTAATATAGTAATTAAGATCAATAATAAATTAATTTTTTTTAAAGAAAAATGTAATCACATTCAGTAAATAATATTAGTTTGATTATAGACGACAAACCGCGAGCATTGAAGCAGTGATTGTATGTGAAGAAGTATTTTGTAAATAATGTTTTCAATGTTTGATTGTTTCTCAAACACCATTCGCGCCAAATCCAGTAAAACCTGATTCCGTTTGTTCTCTAATTGTGATCTTTCATAGAGCTGTGCATTCCTTATACCGATTCCACAGAATTGAAGATATTGTGAAAACACGTTCTCATCTTTGCTGACAAAACACGGACTGTCCTTCTTATTGATCACTTGTGCGACTCCCATCACTTCGCCATATATATCCAAAATGGGATTACAAAGCATATTACGGGTCAGATAACCAGTTTTCTGGTCGACCTCATCGGAGAAACGCGAATCCTATCAATAAATAGATATTTCAATAATGATTTATATATTATATAACAATATACAACACAATATAATATATCCATTAAGTATTGTACTAATAAAATGTTTGACAATATTTTATGAAACATGATTTGATCTTTCCTTTTATTTGCCTTTAGACATGAATTACACTTATCTGACAAATATAGCAAAAAACATCACAAGAGCTGAATAATAATATTACAACTCATATAATCATGTCTGACATCATTTGAGAAAATTTATGAGATTTTTTCGCTTAAATATTAAAGAAAAAAGTTTTATCCGATCGACGGCTTCGTATTAAATAAGAGATAAGTTTGGAGTAAAGCTTTTCCTTAAAATAATCGCCGTATCATTATTAATGGATTTACTGTCCATCCATTCCCTTATAACCATATTATATTGTATTGATATATACAGTACTACTACTGTAGACTACATGAAGTCAATAGTGAATACCACTACTGTATTGGCACTGTTATGCAATTGATAGACGAGTTAATGCTTAATAGGTTTAGAAATAGTCTACTTATTTAACTAGAGTTGCCTTTAAGCCGATTCTCATATTATTTCAAATATAAATGGATTAATTAAAACAAATACTAAATTCCAATCTATTAATCATATAAAACAAACATTTGTATACAAAAATATATATTTAGTTTAGTGTAACTCACAAAACAAAATAATTATAAATTATGAGCAAAATAATTAAATTTCTTATTTAAGTAATGTTGTATCAAAAATCTAAATTATTACATTGTTTTAGTCTTTCTAATGTATTATATAGTTATCAACCATAATATATTAGTTACAGTAATATTGTTACAAAATAATCTCAGTTGGCATCTAATCAATAAATTTTGTTTAATGTAAGTAATATTTTAAGTACATTTACTAAAACAAAACATAATACATAATATAAAAATGTTTTGTTATAAGTATAAGTAATTTTATCATATTTTCTAATATTATTATTTACTAAATCAACATTTTGTTTATTAATAAATATTTAGTTGCAAATAAATAAATTGCTTATCATTTACAGTATATAATAGAAGTCAAATATTTGTATAATTATTGTATAATAAATTTGGTCCAAACCTGATAACAATCGGGAATATTGACAGATTCGCCACTCTGTGCCACATAACCCACAATACCCTTACCCCAGGGGATCGATATTTCCTCTTTTTGCTCCATTTGTTCAATGGTTGACTGACACGAAACGTCAAATAATTGACTTATTAAACACCTATAAATTCAATTTAATTTAAGTTAAATATTATAATACAGTATTTCGATTATAATTTTAAATAAATATATTCTTTAATATTATTATAAAATGAGTTTTTTTTAAAAAGTTCAACAAAAAATATATTAAGAATAATTTTTTTAGTTTATCTCAATTTTCTAAGCGAAACATTTTTTCAAAAGGCATAAAAATAAAATTCAATATTTGCGACAAAAATCTTATTACCATTTGAAATAACGTTTTTAAAAAAGCACAAATTTAATATAAAATATAAAATTATTTAAATAGGAGATTTAGTATCTATAAAAGCATCTAAAATTCAATTCAAAACATTATTTGAGAAATAAGCGTTAAATAAAATCTAAAAAATCGTCAAAATTTGCAGAAAATTCCTAAAATATTTATAATAATAAATCTAATTTTTAATACTATTAAAATTAGTATTATTTACTAGTATTATTTATTTAACAACAAAACAATAATTAAAACAATACTATAAAACATTTTTCATATGTGAGTTTTAAACAAATACTGTAAAAAATTTGAGTTTTTAGTAATTCTCATTTAAATAACTACATGTATTTTTAATTAATAATAAATAATCCTTATTTATTTACCTTTAAAATATCACTGTTTTATAAACTAAGTTAACAAAAAATTCTTGTATTATCGTGTTTTCTATACAGAATATTCTTTACATTATTTTATATAAATAAATTTTATTTGTGTACAAAATGATTTATCAATTTTATCAATTATATTCTACAATTATTAAGTAGAAATGTTATTAAATATCTTAAATTAGATTCTAAAAAATAAACCACATTTTAATAAAATTTTATAAAATATTTGTTTTAAATATAATATGAAATCGATATTTATTTCGACTTTAAGATCATTATTTAATAAATAAAATTTTACTAAATAATATTTATTGAGATATTATATATTAAATACTTTAAGCAATTTAGTATAATTATATAAAAATTAAAAGTAATCAAATATAAATACTTTGTCTATTAAATTTTATTTATTCCTAAACAATCTGATTTATTTTTTAAAAACTTTCGTTGTAAATTTCCAGTAATAAAAATTAAATAAAAAAATTATTTGCTTAATATTAGTAGTAAAGAAATGTATTAACAAAAGTTGTTAATATAAGTATTTTTCATTTTTCGATTGAAATTAATGCTATACTTTAGAAAATCATTTATTAAAAACCTCTCAAAAAATCTCTATAAATAGACAACAATTATAAGATTATCCGTCTTTGAAAAATATATTAAGTTATTTAATAAACATTTATAAGTATTAATATATTTAATTAAATATCGTACTATAATATTATACATTTAGAATTTAGTTGACTTGTTTTACTCAATATATCTAATATTACAATTCATTAAAAGATACAAAAAATAAATTATTTTTAAATGAAATAAAAAGACGAAGACTTATGATAACAATATTGTATTCAATCTATTTATATATAAATATCATATATTTGTCTCTAAATCTAGATATAAACTTTATATTCATAAACTCCATTAAATAAAAAAACAATGTCTTTAAATGAAATTGAAATGAAAATGAAAAAATTGTGTAATTTTTTATTATTTATAAAATTAAATAGTGTTTAGTTATTTTTCCAATTAATCTTAAGTCATTGCCTACTAATTATTTTTACTGATTTATTAAGAAATTCTTTAAAATCTTTCATTTAAAAACTCAATAACTATCAACAAAATTATAATATTAAAATGCAATTAATAATTAAATAGTATGAATTTTGTTTTTGTTATAACTTTACTTAAACAAATATAAAAACAAACAAAAAACTTTTGTTGATAACATTGTCAAATAAAAAAACAGTTAAATTTGTTTGTTATGCTTAGTCGACAGTAATAAAACAATAGTAATAAATGCAAGTCTATAATAAATATAATACTGTATTATACACTCACCGGTTTGGATCGTTTTTCTCTCCCTTTACCTAAAAAGTAATAAAAGTATATATATATATATATATATATAAAAGTATGTGAATTAGTTAATTAAATATTCATAAGTTTTTTATATAAGTATTTAATATGAAATACCAGGAAAAGACTGCAACGATCGGCATTAGTAAGTATTGAAACATTTTTAAGAATCTTATGACATAAGGACTTAATGTCTAAATCATTGCAAATATCTTTCACTAATTCGAAGATTAATTCTCTTTCATTAAGTGATTCCAATTCTTGTCTCGTTTTCGCCGGAATTCCTCTATTTATATTGTCTGTCGAACCCCTTTCCGCCCCCGGAATTGGTAGAAAAGTGGGCGTCCCGTCAACAGTGGTCGAAACCATTGGCCTTAAGAAGCAACCACTTCTTTCAAACTCGTGCGCCGATATTTTGCGGACAGGAGTCGTAGCGCCCGAGTTATCAGCACTGGGAGCACATGAGGTGTTTCCTGAAGCACCTAAAATAGGCGAATGTATAATCGCGACTATAAAGGAAATAATGGGCAAAATTGTATATAAAGTGATATAAAAAGAAAAAACAGATTTCAAAGCCTAATGGCAGTGAAATATTTCTGCACATTAAACACAATGTAGTGTTGAGTTAGTTATTATAATACAGCAATAGTTGTGCCATAAAATTGAGTGAAACCAACAAAAATAAGAAATAAAAGAGAATTAAAGTCAATTAATATTAAACAGTCAAATGTTTATTATGTTTAGTACTTTAGCGCAAATAGTACTGCAATAGTAGTGCTGTTACTTAAGATTAAAAGTTATTTAAAAATAGAGAGACAAACTCATTATGCAAGTGATTAAACAAATAATGAAAGGTATGATATTTATGGTAACAGTGTTGTCACTCACCTGCACTTACAGACGCTGAATGAGCTAAAAGCCAGTTATCGACGAGAGATCGCGAAGCCTTCCTCACGAAGTAATCCTGAACAAAGCCCGGGTGTTCATCCAACCAATCCTTATTATATATATATATATATATATTAATCAATATCATATATATATAACATATTATATTCAGTTGGTATACCTCCATGTGATCAAACTCTTCATTATTAAAGTACTCGACACTTGAATCATTGGGATCTCCTTCTTGATTTTGTCTCGCTTCAGACATTTTGATTAACGGGAGGTTAATGTTTGAGCGATACGTCTTTGTTGAACCTCTTGGATGCCAACCTATACGTGCGTTCATTAGACTAATAATTAGCTTTTGTAGCGCTTCGTTGTATGGGTAAGGATCGGGGAGACAGTATTGCTGACCGGGTGGCCACAGAGGTCTCCAAAGGGCCGAAGCAATTGTTGGACAGATAGTGGTGGGAGTGGTGGCTGTGTTGGCAGATGTTGTGTTTGTGGTGTTAGGATAGTCTTCGGTTAGGTTTGAGGTGTTTGGCTGCGGATGTATRGAAGTGTCGCCTCCTTTGCAAGATTCCAGTTTAGCCACCTTTTTGAGATACCCTAACATTTCGTGATAAACAAAACGTATCAACCAATGACCAAATTCATCAAAACAAACGCCAATCAAACAGAGTTTGCAAAAACAAATCAGTTGTCAAACAGTCATTGTGTCCAACACTCTAAAGCCTATGAGATTAAGTGCGAGAATTGCAATCAATATTTTTTTGTCGCTTTTTATAGCATTAGTGCTAATATTACAATATAACAGTCATTTGCATCTTATTAATCAATTTACTTTTCACACATTTTCACATAATATAAATACCCATTTATTCAGTTAAGTCAACATACAGTTTACATGCTATTTAATTGACAACTTTTACAATGATTTTCATAAATATAATACAAAATAGCATTTGAATAAATATATAATATTTCAATATATTTGTAGATTAAAACAGTATAATAATATAATATTATACAAACATTGTATATGTTTAAATTTTGTATTGGCTGATTATTTTAATTTATAAAGTAATTCAAAATAATTTTTTATTATTATACAAATTACTACAATATATTGTTTTAAGTTATATCTATAAAATAAAACATACAGATAATATATAAATTGTTAAATATTAAAGACTCATATTAAATAACTTTAAAATATTTTATAAATAAAACTATCAATCATTAAATGAAATTTAATCCAAAACTCAATATTGTTTATTGATTATTATAACACAAAATTTAATATTATATTTTTTGGATGCTTTTCCTATTCTTAAATAGTAAGACTAAAAGAGATTATGAAAAATTCATGTTTTCAAATGCATTCAATGAACCAAAATCTTCAAACACACTATAGATTTAAAGCATTTTTTGCATTGCATTAAATATAAAACTTTGATTAAATCGATTTGATTTGTCAATGCTTTGACATTATTTAAATTTATTCAAAGCTTTAATTTAAAAAGCAAGTGAATGAACAAATAAAACACACATTTATTTATTTATCAGTAAAAAGTCACAAAAAACAATCCTTTTTTTGTAGTTTAATTTAATTCAAAACCATGACTACAAACTGTTTGCCCACTTTTTCTTATTATATAAATTATAAGTTAAACATACTGTATATAGACTTTAATTTATAATATATATATAATTTGACTAATATATACATATAAATTTATATATAGTACTGTATGTAATATCAATAAACTAAATTATTTATTTGTTATACGGGCTTTGTATTCWAAATTTTAATAAATACAGTATAACATGTAATAAAAATATTGTTTTATATTATGTAATAAATTCAATATATCATATCATTTATTATTCTATAGTTATCCGGAAATTAATAATATAATTTTAAAGTTTTGAATTTTAGTKTTAGAACTAAACATCAGTGTAATGTAAATATAAATTTTGTATAAAAATGTAAGATATAATAAATGCAGTATTTGTAAAATGTTACAAAAATGAATTTACTATATTATACAGAATATTCTTGTGATATAAAATAAATATTAAAATACTAGTATTGCTGAACTGATATTTAAATCAAATATTTTATTGAGATGTTTGAAAATCATGAAAAATAAATGTTTTTATAATTATTTATTAGTGATGTTAAATAAATAAAATTTTATTTTAAAATTTCGATCAATAGATATTATCTAGATTAAAATCTAGATTTTTTTTATAAAAATTTATATTATTTATAGAATTACTTACTTAATTGAAACTTTTAAATTGAAAAATATATTAATATTTGATTTATATATATAAAGATATAAATGTAAATGCTATTTAAAATTTTTAATAAATTAGCTAAATTCCGACTATACTACTACTACTAGTATTATACTACTGAAATTCTAAAATTGACTTGATACTTTAAACATTATATTTGATTTCAAAAATAATAAATTTTATTAACTAAAGCTTATTTAAAATATATCACCTAATATATCTATCATACCTTTTTTATATTTATACTTCATMTAGCATAATTTATGCTAAATATTACAATTTTATAATAAAAAGTTTTAATTACTTGATATTTAAAATATTTAATAACAAAAAATGTAGCATTAAACATAAAAATACTAAATTAATAAATATAAATTAATACATAAATAAATGTTAATTTATGCGTTAATTAACTAATTAGCACTAATATATTCAATGCTATATTTATACTTATATAGTCACGAATATCATAAATATAATATTACATAATTTTAGCATAAAATTCTTGTTATAAATTAAAAATTTTGAATGTTATTAGAAAAACTAAAGTCAATGAAAAAAGCAATATTTGTTAAATGACTTAAGGACTTGAATTTAATCAAAGTTATGTATAGTTAAATAATAAAACATACGGTAAATTAGCTAACATTAATTTGCCAGAAGATAAATTTATATGAGATATAATATTGAATATAACAATTTTTTAATAAAATTTTATTAACATTTACTATTACTATAAAAATATTTCAAATTCGATAAGTTTTAATTTTAAATAGTTTAACTATTATTAATTTTTTAATAAGAAAATTAATTAAAATTTAGCATTTTAAAATCTAATGTAATTATTTATAAAATGTAATTTAATTTAATAACTCTCTCTCTCTCTCTCTCTCTCTCTCTCTCTTATAAATATGAATTAAATTTTATAAAGTTAATTGATTTTTTAAAATATTATTTCAAATAAAAATAAATAAGTAATTTCAAATTTATATAAATAATTAATGAAAAAATAGATATAATCAATGAAATAAAACATAAATGTTAATTCAATATTGAATATAATAAAAATTAAAAAATATAAAATCTTTGAATATAAAATATAAACAAAATAATACTAATTGTAAATACTGTATTATACATAATTAAAAACAATGAAAAGTAATTTAATTGTATTTCTAATGTTATGTTAAAATCTATAAAATGCTAAACAATTTCAACAAAATTGAGACAAAAAGTTTTTAAAAAATACATTACATCGACAAACTTAAAAACTCAAATTGATATAATAAATGTTCAATTCATATAAAATACAATTATAAATATAAATTCATTTATTTATTATATAAATTATTTGTCATTTTTTATTGTAAAACAGAATGATTTAATGTCGCAAAAATAAACTGATATAAAATATACAGTATATTTGGACATAACTTATCGATTAATTTAATGGGGATTTTACACTATAGAAATAGGAAACGTTTGGTCAAAATTGATTGAAATAGAGATGAAATATGAGCACAAATTGTTGTTTTCAACTGAGAAAAAGTCAAACCAATAAAAATAAAGTAACTAATAATTCACTGTTTCAATGGAAATGTTCATAAATTTAGAGATCAAAATGTATTTTCAAAACAAACTGTTATATAAAATTTTTAGTGATAAAAGCTATCGTTAGATTCATTTCTATAAAAAAAATAATATAAACCCATTTTCATAGTATGAGAGAGAGAGAGAGACCACCAAACATATAACAACAAACAATTGACAAAAAATTCTACACAAATACTAAATTGATTTTTTACTCTTAATTTGTAATTCAAATGTCAAATAAAACTAAAAACTAAAACAGCAATTGAAAATTATAAATCACTTTTTTGGAGACATTTTTTGATTCAATGAAGCAATTGTATTGTATTTTTTCAACATAAATAAGTTATAGTGCAATGCCATTGATTTTTATAAAACATTATATTTAGCACATGTTTTTGCAACAACTAATAATAAATGTTATGACTATATATTTATAGGATATATTAATAAATCATTTATTTAACAATATTTAATTTTTTTTATTGTTGTTATTAAGATTCATTTTTCAAAAATATATAAATAAGTATTTTTGAGTTAAATTATTAATAGGTTTTGATTGAAAACAATTTTATTAAAAGCATTATTTGTTGTGTAAAAGCCTATTATATTTTATGACCGTTTTTTAAAAAAAAGTCACTGCCATTAGTTTTATAATAATAATAATACTTTTCACCAAAATATATATTTTTTAAAAAGTATTTTTAAGCAAATAAATTTGAAAAACATTTTTTTCTATACATAATAACAATGAACTTAGATTTGAAATTTTTTATTTATAAACATAAAACATCAGTTTAATATTAATATAAAGATCATGTATTATAGATTTTTTATTGTTTAAAAATATGACATAACAATAAGGGTCTGTTTTATATTAAACATCAAAAGTTATTTACCATTTTCACGACTAGACTTTAAATGCAAACAACATAACATTAAATTGAAACTATTGAAAAATAATAGATTGATATTTTTTCTTATTATTTATCATTTAAATCTAAATAAATTCTTAATATATATAATAATATATATAAATACATAATAGAGTTTCATTTTTATTTATCCATTAATAAAATATATCAAATATTGTACATAAAATAAATTTATTAAAAAAGACAAATAAACAAAACTAAAAACATGTGTACTTTTATGTATACATTACTTGTTTGGATATTATAGTAATTTAAAACAAATAAATAAAGAAGAAATTCTTACATTAATGAACACAACAACACAACAACAATACATCAATTAAATTAATGTCTAACCAAAAAACAACTTTCCTCTAAGCCATCCAAATGCTTATCACTGTATTATATAGTGTTTACACTAAAACTGAAACACAAGAATTCAAAATATATTGATTTTAAGTTAAATTCAAACCCAAAAATGATAATATGGTTTAATATCTAAACCACTATTACATGTTTATATAATATATATATTTATATATAATTGAAATATATTTAGTAACACTTTTGATGTTTAAAATAATACAATTTTATGTATTTTATTATACAATAAAACATGATATAACTAAAATAACGTGAAATATAGTCGTTAAAAACAATTTGAAAGATAATTTCTTTAATAATAAACTCAAACATATATATGAAATATACGTCTAAAAATACAATAATAATTATTTGTAAACAACATATCATAACAATATAATTTATATATATAATGAATAAAGTAATATAAATTGA